TGGGGGGGAGACCCCATTCTATGGACTGAGACTAGGTAGGAATTGATGAACATGGCCGAACACCAAAAGGGCTGTCCAAGAGGGGGAAGAAGAGAAACAATTAAAACAGAAACAAAAAAGGGGGGAGCAAACGGCAAACGGCAAGTTGTTTCCTTGTCATCTTGGCAGATGCAGCTGAAAAAAACAAAACAATGGGATTTCTGATATATGCAAGGAGGCCAACATGGCTGACGTAGAGTTTCCTTTTTTCTGCAGCCACGCCAATAGTTTGGCCACAGCAAACAAACACAAGCTGAGCACACAAAACAAAAAAAATATGACAAGAGTAACCCCACCCTCGGAAAGGAAAAAGTAAAAATAATTGAAAAGCACACACACAAAAAGAAGCAAGGAAAAAAAAAAAAAAAGGCACGAGTAGGATAGCACTGCATGCGATAGCGGCTCTGGGCGGTAAATCGAGTGGCCAGTCAGATTGGTTCCGGCGCATTCGGATCCCGGTCCAGCAAACAGGAAAAGATTGATGTTGGTGTTTCAGATCTGCACATTAGCGCCCAGCCACGCAGGAAACGTGGCCGTCAACCACCAGAGACATTTTGGATTCCGAGCCAGTGGGCGTCTAAGTGGAGAGAGAGAGAGAGAGGGCGAGCGAGGCGCCGGCCGAACTGCCACCTGAGATGCCAATTTTAACGTGCAACGGCTAGTTCTGGAGCAGATGAGTAGATGACAGGCTGGATGACACTGACAGACGTTGGACTGGAGTGACATTTTAACAAGGGGACAAGCAAGCACAGGCGCCCGGCGGGATGAGATGGCCTCATACGAGTGCCTACGATACGAGGAATCGATTCGACGATGCTGGGCATCTATGTATCTGCACACGCCATGCAGTCTGGTCACATACGGGTAGAGTAGAGTTTTCCACATTCGAGGAGAGGTATCAATATCCCCCCCCCGTTCTTTTTTTGCGGCTTGCGGGCTTGAAACGTGAAACACTTTGGCTGGCCCCCCCCGCCCGTGCCGAATGCCCAATCACGCCCGGCGTTTGACGGAGGGAGGCTCTGAGGCCTGATGCAGGTACAGAGTAAGAGCCACGTCCTAGCTCGTTATCAGACGGAGTTTATGATGGAGCCCCCCAACTCTTGTTTGGCCGGGCCTGTCTGGATTAGGAGTACTTGCCACTTTGTGTCTGGGCTCTGCTTACTGGGCTGAGCAGGTACTGGGTACTCTTTACCGGACTCGTGCAAATGAATGCATCTGGGTTTGATGTGATGGTGTGATGAGGGCATGGGACCTGTTTGTTTCTTTGTTTCAATGTACGACTAAGTCTGCCTTTGTACTTGCGAAATGTTCCAAGTCCATTTGGAGAGCCCGTGTAACTCGGTAGGACTTTTTGCTTTGTGCGCTCGCCCCCAGTCTCAGCCATCTTGCATCTGATGTCCTTGTGATACCTCTGCTGTACATTCTTTGTCCTTGAACAAACTTGGCACCGTCCAGCTTACGAGTACTCGTATCTCCTCGCCCATGCACGGGGGGGACTCAAAGCACATGATCCATTGTTACCTTTGTCTGGGCTGTGTGAAGGAAAGAATGGACAAAGCCAAAAACAACATACTGTACCCTGTACCTGTGCCTGTGCCTGTGCCTGTGCCTGTGCCTGTGCCTGTGCCTGCTTATTCGCCTTCGTGCAGCCTAGGCCCTATGCGAAATATGGCCGTGATTTCTTTTTTAATCTATTTCTCATTGCCTACGGATCCCCCAGCCTGGAACGGCCCCCTTCGCCGGGCTTCTACTGTAGGCTCTAGAGCACGACTGCGCTGCCTGCCAGTGGGATGCCGGCTGCTGGCGCCAGGGGCTCGACAGGGGACAGGGGGCTTCTGAAGGCGCAAATCCCCGGTTAGGCGCAGTGCTGTGCATCCACCACAATGCTTGGCCTGAGATGGCAATTCAATTCAATTCAATTCAATTCAGTTCAGTTCTGGCCCTTGTCCCTTGTCCCTCGTCCCTTGTTCCTTGTCTACCAGGCCAGGAAACAGGAACTCCTTCGGCCCCGCTGCGTATACTGTACCTAATCGGCCCCACGCCCTCAAGATACCCTCACCTCTCACTCTCCCCCCCTCTCTCGCTTTTCCTATATCATCTCCATCGCCGCCGGATCCTTCTCGAGGTTTTCTTCTTCCTTCTTCTCCAGGCCGCTTCTTTCCTACATCTTCCAAAGTTGCTGGGCACTTCCTCTCCTTTAAAAGCATTTCCGATACATTTGGCATTCTTTCGCTCTTGTATCATTCCATTCCTTTGCATACTCGTACATATACACTCGTTCGTTTCCAAGGTGCTCAGGTATCACCGCTGCAACTATTTTCAATCGTCCTAGCGACCCTTGCATAGCTCGAAAGCATTTCCTCGATTTTGATACAGCTTCGTTTTCTTAAAGTCACGGATCTTTCACCATGAAGTTCACCACCACCACCGCGGCCGTTGCCGCCATGGCTGGCATCGCCGCCGCCAAGGACAGCCGAACTTTCGCTGTTCTGCGATTCACCAACAAGGGCTTGGTCACCACTCGTGCCGATCCCATCGTCAACCCCGGCGTTGCCTCTGCACACGTCCACAACGTCGTGGGTGGCAGCAACTTTGGCTTCTCCTCCACCGGTGCGGACCTCCTCAAGTCCAACTGCAGTACTGCTCTCGTCAAGGGTGACTACTCCAACTACTGGTACCCTACCCTCTACTTCCACGACCCCAAGACGGGCAACTTCGAGTACGTCGACGTTTACTACACCAACGTCTACTACTTCTTCGAGGCCACCAACGACAAGATCACGGCCTTCCCCACTGGTCTCCAGATGCTGGCCGGCAACACCATGTCCCGAACCGTTCCCGCTGCCGGCGGTGGTGACCAGCTTGACCCTTCCAAGGGCCCTATTAACAACGTCCAGTTCACCTGCCCTCGTACCAGCTACAACCCCCCTTCATACCCCGTCGGCTCTGACGGCTCCAAGTTTGGTATGGTTGACCCCAACAACCCGGGCGCTGGTGTTGGTCTCCCCGATGTGACTTGTGATGGCATGTACTCTCCTCTCCGTATGGACATCCACTTCCCCTCTTGCTACAACCCCGCCGCCGGCCTCACCAACTACAAGGAGAACATGCAGTTCCCTACCGACGCTGGCAACGGCAAGCAGGACTGCCCCAAGGGCTGGATTCACACCCCTCACATCTTCTTCGAGGTCTACTTTGACACTCAGCCCTACAAGGGCCGATGGGTCGAGAACCAGGGATCTCAGCCCTTCGTCCTCTCCAACGGCGATGTTACCGGATACGGTGCCCACGCTGACTTCATGGCCGGTTGGGACGAGGATCTCCTCCAGCACATCATTGACACTTGCGATGCTGGTGACTCTGGTATGGATCAGTGCCCCGGTCTCTTCTACGGCCTGAACAGCGGCGACTGCACCATCGCCCCCCTGGTCAACGAGCAGGTTACTGGCACTCTCCCCAAGCTCCCCGGCAACAACCCTCTCAGCGGCTTCAGCTACGGTCCTGCCCCTGCCATGCCCGCTGGTGGCTCTGCTCCCGCTGCCTCCAGCGAGGCTCCTGCTCCTCCTGCTTCCTCCAGCAAGCCCGCTTCTTCTCCCTCCAGCAAGCCTGCTTCTTCTCCCTCCAGTAAGCCCGCCTCTTCTCCCTCTGGCAAGCCCGCCAGCTCCCCCAGCAAGCCTGCCGCCACCAGCAACGTTGTCAACGCTGGCCAGCCCGCCAAGACCATCGAGTCTGCCCCTCCTGCTTCTTCTCTCCCTGCTGCCGGTGGCGCTGGTAACGACGCTCAGTGCAGCGCCGCCAATGTCCACACCGTTACTGAGACCATTACAGTCACTGCTGGCACTCCTGCCGCCACTTCTACTCCTTCCAAGGGTAACTCTGCCGCCACCGTCGGTGGATACACCTACGCTGGCTGCTACCAGGACAACATCGGCCGTGTCCTCACCGGCGATATCCTGCCCAACCTTGGCCCCATGACCAACGACAAGTGCGTTGCCAACTGTGTCAGCAAGGGATTCTCCGTCGCTGCTACTGAGTACGGCGGCCAGTGCTACTGTGGCAACGAGCTCGTTGGCTCTACCAAGCTCGCCGAGAACCAGTGCACCATGGCCTGCGAGGGCAACTCCAAGGAGGTCTGCGGTGGAAGCTGGGCCATCAGCGTCTACAGCAAGACCGGCGCCGTCACCTTGAAGGCCGCCAAGCGCTCTGAGCACGTCCACCGCCACCGCAGCCAGCGCCACTAAAGGGTTGCTTCCTCTATTTCGGCGCATTCGGGGCAATGATCTGAGTGTTGCGGAGTATTTGGTTTGAAGCGTTGCATGTGATTCCGGTGGGTTTTATGACAGCGGGATCTTGGATAGGTTGGGGGGTCAGCAGCGGGTATGATATCTGCTGACCCTTGGAGTGATTTGTTGGATACTTCGATTCTTCCGTGTATTTTTGATGACATAATCTTGTACGATTCTTGGTTTACTATCTGGCAAGTCAGTTAGGGGCCTCCCGCGAGGGAATTTTAAAGCATTTATCAATCGAGGTCTATGAATGACTGGGTCTTATAGAGTCTGAATAAAAGTTTATGAGCAATTTCACAAAAACAAAGGTAGCAAACTGGTGATTCAGTAGATGATCAATGTAGAATTGAACTCGTGTGTAAAGATGAGGGATCCTGTAACCGAAAATCACCTTGCCCTAAGATACAGATAGCATTTCGCACCTGAACTTTCTTTTACTCCAGGTACTCGTAGATGATGAAGTTTGAAGTTAGGATAAGGCTGGTAGACTAAGGCGGGTGAGGCGCATGAAGTTGGCGGACGGCTAAACTGCGGCTAAACCCATATTTTACGTTTCTCATGGCTAGAACTTCATCTCACATTGTTTCTTTTCCATCCTTTCATTTTCTCCCTCTCTTCCTTTTTTACACCCTCGAAACTTTCTCTCCTTTCCAAGAGGGACTTTCTATAGGAATGTCTCTCTATCATGAGGCTGCGGAAATTTTATCATCATCAGCAGACGCCAGCGGAAGCTTGAAATCACGAGTGTTTGGCAGGAAGAAGGGCAAATCACCACCCGCACAGCTGTATGCTCTTGTGCTGGAGAGTGCGAAATGGAGTCTGGTGCTGAAAGAAGTAATTGAAAATGCGGAAATTCTCAAACTGGAGCGAAAGGTAGGGAAAAAAAGGCCTTTGAACAATCTTCTAGATCTATCCATGTTGAGTTGAGCAGTGAGTTTGTGGGTGCTAACTTTCTTCTTCTTCTCTCTTCAATGTGTAGCTTACGCCAACGCTAGCTTTGCTATTGGTGCATGATTTATTGCTTGCCAGGGGAGGAATTGCACTGCCGCAGAGCCACGGACTGAGAGCATCGATTGAGCGGCACAAGGCGCGCCTCAGCTCGGAATTCACGAGGGCGAGGGTGAGGAGAAAGGCGCCGACGGTGGACTTCTTGAAGGAGCTGGTCGAAAGAGCGTCTGCGGGAGAAGAGGCCAATTACCCGAGATGGGTGCGTGTCAATGCCCTCAAAAGCACCGTGGAAGAACAACTGGAGACGACCTTTTCGAAACACAGCAGAGCTGAGAGCATTCAAGACATTGTGACGAAGTCAGGCAGACACATCTACATTGACCCTCATGTGCCGAATTTGCTTGCCATTTCTGCGGGGATGGACTTTGCAAAGGTGGAAGCTTATACATCTGGGAAAATCATCCTACAAGACAAGGCATCGTGTTTCCCGGCCTATCTGTTAGACCCACGATCTGAGGACGGAGATGTCATCGATGCTTGTTCTGCGCCGGGGAATAAGACGACGCATCTCGCAGCGATTCTTTACAAGCGCCGCCCGGAGTTTGAAGATGCCCCTCAGACGATTTACGCTTTCGAGAAGGATTCAAGGAGAGCCCAAACGCTGGAAAAGATGGTCAAGATTGCTGGGTCAAAGACCGTCACGCGGATTGGGTTCGGACAGGACTTTCTTCAAGTGGATCCTACGTCTGAAAAGTACAAGGATGTGGGAGCTTTACTGCTGGACCCAAGTTGTTCAGGCAGTGGCATTGTTGGCCGAGACTCAATGCCCGAGTTACATCTCCCAGACCCACCAACAGAGAATCGTGGTGGCAAGGGGAAACCAACCCTGTCTAGCACGAACAACAAGAAGAGGAGGCACGACGAAATTGAAGAGCCCGCGCAAAATGTGCTGGTAGACGATGATGGAGTCGAGACCGTGGTGAGGTCAGAGAAAGACCTGGAAGCGCGGTTGGAAGCGCTCTCGTCGTTTCAACTGACGCTTCTGCTCCACGCATTCCGCTTCCCCCGAGCAAAGAAGATTACTTATTCGACATGCTCAGTTCATTCTCAGGAGAACGAACGCGTGGTAACACGAGCCCTGGCGTCGGACATTGCAAAAGCCAAGGGGTGGCGCATCCTGCGACGAGAAGACCAGGTGAGCGGGCTTCGGGACTGGCCCGTCAGGGGAGTGGTCGAGGCGGCAGAGGGTGACGAGACAGTCGCGGAGGGGTGCATACGGTCGTATAAGGGGGACGGCCATGGGGTAATGGGCTTCTTTGTTGCCGGGTTCGTGCGGGATTCGGTCGATATGGGTTTGGGGGACCAATATGAGGGAGGGGCTTCTGTTGAGGTTGACGGGGATAGTGGCGAGGGGCCATATCTCCGCGACGACGATGGTCGGATTTTGCGGGACGTCGTTGGCATGCCGCTGCTCAAGTCCACGGGGAGACCTGTTTCGCTCCATGGAGTGGATGAAGGGGAGGGAGATGAAGAAGACGAGGAGGATGAAGAAGGCGAAGAAGACGAGGATGAGGATGAGGAGGAAGATGATGACAGTAATGGCGGAGATGAAGACGAGTGGGGAGGCATTAGTGATGCGTAATGTCGCGCCCAAAGCGTCTGATATACCAAGCTGCGTTCCATTGAGCGCATTGCACCTTGTGATACTGCTAAAGACAAGGTTCACCCTGCCGTTGAAGGGTCTCAAATGACTTGGCGTTGGCTATTTGATCATTGTTCGGTTCTATGGAGGATGAGGTTGGCCAGTGAATTTAAATATCCTTGCCGGAGAATTAATGCTCATAGATAGGTTCAGACATGAAGTGAGTCATTTGACTTGTGATGTATGAGGCACAGATATGGCGATATAGACCAAAGATAAGCGGCTTTCCTTGGATAATAGACTATGTGCTTCTGTATTAGTTGTAAGCTGGAGCTTGATACTTTGTGTAGGCCTACGGAGCAAACAAGTTGGCTGGCGAGCCGTCTCTTTGACAGCAGCCTATAACTTCTGCAAGTATCATACATGTACATGACGTCCGCCGCTTGAGTTCAATTTTGTCAATATGACGCCAGATAGTTAGGCTGTCAATTACCTCGTTACCTAACCAACGCCGGATCGACTACACCGGATTTCAAACCCGGACTTGCAGACGAGCAGACAAAACGTGAGTCGTGTCATACTCTTCTACTACGAGTCACCTGCCACGTCATATGAGGCCTAATCGACGAATTCTGGTGCCTTTTTTCACTTTTTTCACGTTTTTGCTGCCTGATAACACAAGATACCGCAACGAGGCTGAAAGCCAAGCGAGAGACACAAGTTGCCTCGGCACAGAGCATGCAAAGCTTGGCATGTATTTTAACTCGTGGGATTAGTGGCATGTTTAATTACATGAGAGCGACAAGGCTCCGGTTTGGGTACTCCGCTGTGGATAGGATATTGTGGTGAGAATCTCAACTTTTTTTTTTTTTTACGATAACACGAGGAGGTTCCACAGTCGGTCAACTTTAGGGGATCCAGAATCACAAGCAAGGCGCCCCTGTTTCACATGGCAAATGGAGAAGAAAAAAAAAGAAGAAGAAAGAAGATTTCCTTCTTTTTCTTATCTGTCTCGGCTGCTACCGAGAGTAGAGAGGCGAGCGAAAAGAGATAGTGTCGGGCCGGCTTCCGCAAAGAGATCTACTAGGTATCAGGCGTCAAGTGGGTTTTTTTTTCTAGCAGGGAACGGGGGAAATAAAGGCGCGCCGTGTCCGATGTTACGAAGTAGTAGCCTCGGCACATGAAGATTTTTTGGGCTGCTGAGGATCAAAACTTATCGAATGCACGGACGGGACTCTCTCTCTCTCTCGGTCAGTGCGTTTTGACGCCCCCCCTCCCCTGCTGCCTGCTGCCTGCTGGGAACAGAAACGGAGGGCTGGGATGTTTGTCCGAATCAGGGAAGAAATGGTGCATGTGGTTGTTGTTCAGTCAGGCCACGAGCCGCCCCTATCGATCATGGCATGACTAATTGTGGTCTACGGTATGTGGGCTTTGTCGTTTTTTTTCGAGATCGAATTCCGTCGGATGGGCGTGTGATGATGTGGATTGTTGTATCTTTTGGCGCATGATGTGTTAATAAGAAACAAAAAAAAGGACAGCCCAAGGATAAATAGAAAAAAAAAAAAGCATAAGCTGGATGAGTAATTAATCGAGATATGAGTCGTTTCATGCGGTCCGTTGTCCGTCTGCATGTACTGGGTCCCTTGCACTTGCCAAAAGCGCCTGCTATTTTCAGCCTCATGTCGAAATGCCGTGGAAGGAGACAAATAAGAGAAGAAAATCCGCGCCTCATTTTACCAGAAGCACGCCAGGAAAGACAGGTTGACCCCTGTCCGCGAAGCTTATTGCCCGAATGGGCGATGGCCAAGAACCAAAATGCTCCGAGATGTTAGTCAGCCGCATGTAGGGGAATTTGATGAAGAAAAAAAATAAGACGGGCAAAATGAAGGGAAAAAACAAGAAACAAAAGAAGCGGAAGAGAAGCCGCCTTAAAGAAATGAAAAAAAGAAAAAAGATGAAATAAAAGAAAAGGAGACGGCGCGGCGCTAGGCCCACAAAAGGCACTGTTCCTTCAATGGCAGCGCAGGATCTCCACGTGCCAAACAAAGTTTTGAGCTACTCCACTGGGGCTAGCGTCGCGGCCAAAGCGGGGCCGGATTGTGATGATGGTGCAAAAGTCCACGGAGTTTCCGTCAAGCCTTGAAACTGGGTGACGACTTTGGCCTCTTTGTTCGGAATTCCGCCTTATTGCTCGTGGCCCATGGAATCTGCTCGAGATTATTGGTTCTCTTTGTGTGGTTTACGTTTTTAGATTCGGGCTGTTGCTTGGACTCCGTCGTTTTTTGCTTGAGATACAGTACTCGTACGCATTGCGGGGTGGAGATTGGAGTCAGTCAAGATGCTGATATATGCTCACTATTGATTGCTACGGATCATCGAATCTAGTCGCTGGGACGGAGATGCGGCGACGAGGGGGGCCGTACAATACATGTTGTAATCCCGATGTTAATACTTGTAATTCCGAGATAGTAAACGCGCTCATACAGTTTCTGTAAGTCGTAATTCTGTCTCATCCCATGGAGAAAATCGCGGGGTTCAGAAGCCTGGGCGCTTTACACAAGGGATCGACCAAAAGGATTCTGTACGAGTACGAGTGTCTTAGCTGTTTGGCTGCGTAAAGGTTAATGATACACACAGTAGACTATCTATTTGCTGTAACCATGCAGGTGTGACAGTACTGCATCCGTCTTAGCCTGTAGGACAATATACGGGAAGCTTGATATATTAAAAAAAGAGATCATCACCAATAACGGACAGGTTGCGCGCGGGTGCTTGGTCATAGTCCCGTTAGCTTGTACTCGTGGCTGCCAACTCGCAAACTTATCCAGTGACTCTTCAACTCCCGCGTGAGTGTAGTTTGTCAGCGGCCGGCAATTGAGTTGTCGTCAAGGGCCAGTTGAGACGGACTTCGGACACGGCGCCGTGCTGGTGGGACTTGGATGCCGGAGATTTGCGACCCCCTGGCGACCGAGATTTGTTTTGCGTTTTCTCATCTTGCTTGGCACCGTTGCAGCAGCGCTTGCGATCTGAAACGTGTTTTCACGTCCGTGTGTCCGACTCCGAGAGACAGATTGCCGCGAAGGACGCTTCCGACGTGGCGTAGCTCGTCTGACAATCTATGCGGGCATTTGAGGCGGGGAAATGGCCAATTTTTCTTCTTCTTGTAAATTCTGCCCTTGCTGGAAACAAAGAGTCGTGGCCCCGGGGAGAAGAAGCTCCGTCATTTGTTGGAGAAACTGATCGGGCTGCCTCCCCCCTCCCTTGACCTGCTTTTGGAGATGGTAACCGGTGAGGGGGTGAGGGGGCCATGTTACACGATTGGCACGGAGGATGAGATGGGATACCCATAAAACTGCTGGTTTGGCTGCCACGAGCCGTGTGAAGGATTTGGACGGAGCGTTGCATTGGGCAAGTATGCAGCTGCAAGGTGATGTGCATAAAAAGAAGAGGCGTCGTTGATAGGCAGCTATTTTGCCTGACAACCAAGGCTACACGTAGGGGGGGGGGGGGAAACATTTGTAATTGGTACTGTATTTACAAAATAGCAGCATCGTGTGGCAGCTACAATAAACATGAAGGAATTCTCCGCCCCTCCTATCTCCTGTTTGAGATGGCGTTGGAGGCCAGAGCTGGCTGATGGATGATTTGCCCACGAGTTGACGGAGGAGTAAACGAAGTGTGCATGTACATACTCGTACACATGTAGACGAGATACGGGGCGGCGTGGGGCCGATACTGTCTGTATATTGCCGGCGGTTGTGTCTTTACGATTAGTACTGAAACGCCCGAGACTAGCCTCGTAGCCAGGCGCAAAACTGGACTGTTCCAGGCAAGGGAAACTGTAGCAATAGATGGGTTTTCACCGTAGGGGTAATGGGTTTTTACCGTAAAGGCAATGTACATGTATTAAACCGAGCTGCGAGGGTTGTACTCGTAGTATCAGAGGTGCGTGCGGTGCTCATACATGTACTTGTACTTACGTCATGCCGTGCACAACGAAGCGAGAATCCTGCATTCGGCCGAAGCAAAACCCGGCGTGGCTCCGTGGCTCCACCCAAGCGCTGGCCAAGTCCATGGACTTCCGTCTGTTTGTACTGTAGGGCAGTTCTAGCGGTGCCTGTCCCCTGTTACGAGTACGCGTAGATACAGGGAATTAGCGGCCGGAGAATGGAGATAGAAGGGCGTGCGGGCTCCCGAAGCAGCCCCAAGCGGCCTAGGGGAGACTAGAAGCTAGTCCCGACTGGGCACCACCGTCTGGCGGACTGGATTGCCCTCCTCGTCGAGCGCTTCCCTTGTGCCTCATCGCAAATAACGCCTGTTATCTCCACCACTGGGCGCAATCCTGCTCAAACCCGAATCCCTTGCCAATTCCCACTTGTTGCTCTGTTTGCTGATCTGCTCATGCAAGCTTTCGCAGCTCCATCCCAGCTCTGGTGGCTTGGCCCGCCAGATCAGGTCCGCTAGACGCCGAGAGTCCCTGGCCAGGCCGGCCCTTTTCTCTGCTTCCTCGCGCTCGGCCTTGGTTATACCTAGTTATAATAAGAAAAGCACCCGGCACTACTGTTGCAAGCACCCAATGATCCCGTCATTTCTCTCTTCGGACGTGCAACCACATCCTCAGGTGCTCGCTTACCAACTACGAGTACAGCATCGTGCCAACCCACGACAACCAACTCTTTAAAAGCCGGGCCCCCCCTCCCCCGGTCGTCAAACCAGCCTTGTCTCCTGACTCGCTCGTCCTACGTTATTTTGCTGTCGTCTTTCTCTCTTCTCGCCCTCTCGACTCTCTCATCTCTCCAGAGCCTCGCGCCATTGCCGCTCAGCCGAGGCCCAGCAGCGTTCTAGGCCTGTTTTGCTTGTCAAGGGGCTTTCATTCGTCACCACCAGGCCGTTGTGGAATCACTCGTCCGGACGACTCAGCTAGGGCTCGGACGACACCCACCGCTTCCCGCTCCTACGGAGTTCCACAAGATTAGGTTGTATTTCAGGGAGGTCAGTATTACATGTAACTGAGCATTGCTCAACCCCTGTCCATGATTACCTATGTATAATACCACCTTATTATATACAAGTACATGGCCCCAGTGCCCTCTCATGATCTGACTCTGGTCCAGGCTTCTCCTCACTCCAAAAAGCTGGGCTGTCGGCGATCCAATCTAAGGTTATTTGCTGGCACATCTACTCCGCATTCTCTAAGCGACCATCGCTACGCACCATAGCCGCAACCGCAACCATGGCCGACGAAAAGCCTTCCTTGCCAATGGCTGACGAGAAACCCTCCGTGCCGGAACAGGAACAGGAACAGACGCCTCACCCACCCTCCTCTTCATCGGCGTCTGCCTCGTCCGCCACTGTCACAACGCCCGATCACGATGTCGAGTCTCAGCTGCAGGCCATGCCCTCTGAAAAGGTCAGCCACTGGAGAGTGCTCCTCGACCAGACTGGTGTTACCCAGGAGGTCTTGGAGTACAACTACGGCGGTCAAGGCACCGCCGAGGCTCCCTACCTCGTCGAATTTCTCCCGGGCGACAAATGGAATCCCATGGCCTTCAAGGACTCGTTCAAATGGACCATTACTCTAATCCAGGCTAGCGCTACCCTTTCCGTCTCATTCGCCAGTTCCGCCTACTCGGGCGGTGTAAGTGAGATCATCCGGGAATTCAACATCTCCACCGAGGTCGCCATTCTAGGTGTTTCGCTGTTTGTCATGGGCTTCGCCATTGGACCGCTTTTCTGGGCTCCTCTCTCTGAGCTCTACGGTCGCCAGAAGACCTTCTTCATCAGTTACATGTGCCTGGCTGCTTTCAGCGCCGGAGCCGCCGGTAGCAACTCCATGGCTACTCTCGTCATCCTCCGATTCTTTGCCGGTGCCTTTGGATCTTCTCCCCTGACCAACGCCGGTGGTGTCATTGCCGATTTGTTCCAGGCCAAGCAGCGAGGAATCGCCTTCAGTATCTTCGCCATGGCCCCTTTCTTGGGCCCAGCTCTTGGTAAGACTATATCCCATTGTCCAGCTTAATCAGGCCGCGTGACGTGCTGACGGTGACTGTAGGTCCGATCGCCGGTGGTTTCCTTGGTGAGTCCAAGGGCTGGCGATGGGTTGAGGGATTGATCGCCATCTTTACCGGTGTTGTCTGGATCGCCAGCTCTGTGGCCTACCCCGAGACGTATGCCCCCGTCTTGCTTCGCCAACGCGCTGCTGCTCTGAGCAAGAAGACTGGCAAGGTTTACATCTCCAAGCTTGAGGAGGGCCAGCCACCCAAGACCATTGGCAACCAGCTCCGTGTTTCCCTCTTGCGACCCTGGCAGCTTCTTTTCAAGGAGCCCATCGTCCTCCTCATCTCTCTCTACATGGCCATCATCTACGGTACCCTCTACATGTGCTTCGCCGCTTTCCCCATTGTTTTCCAGCAGGGCCGTGGCTGGAGCCCTGGTATCGGTGGTCTCGCCTTTCTTGGTATTGCCATTGGTATGACCGTTTCCACCATTGGCTCCGTTTTTGACAACAACCGATACATCAAGACCGCCGCCAAGTCTCCTGATGGAAATGCTGCTCCTGAGGCTCGTCTGCCGCCCGCCATCCTTGGCTCCACCCTGATTCCCGTTGGCTTGTTCTGGTTCGCGTGGACCAACGGCCCCAGCGTCCACTGGATCGTCTCCATCATTGGTTCCATCTTCTTCGCTGCCGGTATCGTCTTGGTCTTCCTCTCACTGATGAACTACCTTGTTGACGCATGTAAGTTGACACCATGCCCTGTCTCTTTTCCCTTGTTTGATGGCTGCTAACACTTGCCTTAGATGTTATTTTCGCCGCCTCGGCTCTGGCTGCCAGCTCCGTTCTCCGATCTCTCTTTGGTGCTGCTTTCCCTCTCTTCACCACTTACATGTATCAGAACTTGGGTATCCACTGGGCGAGTTCCATTCCCGCCTTTTTGGCGCTGGCCTGCGTTCCTTTCCCATTCCTCTTCTGGAAATACGGCGACAAGATCCGTGCCAGGTGCCAATATGCCGCTGAAGCCGCGGCTGTTCTTGCGAGAATACGAGCCAAGAATGTTGTCGTTACCGAGGACCAGGCTGTCGCAGAGGTCAAGGAGCATGAGCGGGAGAGACGAGAGAGTCTGGCTCTGCAGAGGGAACAGAGCCGCGCCAGCCGTGCCAGCCGTGCTGCCTCGCACAAGGCTCGCGACAACTAAATTTTTTCCATTCTACCTAATGGATCACATCTCTCCTCAACTTTTTTTTATTTCGATTGGATATAATCACCATTTTCTTTTCTTTCGACACCTCCTGTATTGGCAACATCACGGCGACTCATGCTTGATTTGCGAGTACTTGATTCCCCTGGATTTTTTATGCAAACATTTCATAGTCATTTCGAAGCGATAGAATATGTTGGCTCACTGTTTTTTTTATGGTCTCTGAATAATGCCTATGCGGAACGGATATGCATTGATTAATATACATATATAGAAGTTTGTCCTCCTTTTATGATGGGGAGGGCAAAAGCAAAATTGGGGTCTTGGGATGCGGAGTATATGATGATGCCTCTCGCGGCGATGGGAGGACACGGTCTCACGCGTCTGATGCAACGACCTAGCCACTCTTGGCGTTTTTTTTATTACTCATTTAGACAATATCGTTTGGATTGTCGATACCACAGATAGCATGTACATAGACAGATTGGAAGACGGAAGAAAAGTTTAATGCTCTAACAAGACGTGCCCTGAGTCGGTGTGAAGCAAGTGATGCATGTGGATGTCGTAATCATTGAATCACGACCCATGACATGGATACAAAGTCAAGTCTGCCGTCCTGATTATGGACATTTCTTCGTAGCTTTGATAAGGAACATCTGTTTGTATGGATGATGTTGAATTTGAAGTTTCAAGTTACAAGACGAGACTTAGTCAACCACTTTCGGAGAATATGCCGGATGCCAACATGAAACAAGCTCAGCCCAATAGGCATTTAGATACTAGCTGTCTAGAATGAGTATAGCACGAAGTAAGAAGCAATGCTGTTTCGATGGCGGTTCTAGCTTTTTAACCCTTGCCACGCTCTTTTAGGTCGAAGTAGAGTCTCATGGCGTTTACACCTCAATGGATAGAGCTATTTGTGTCATGGAAATTATCTCTACGGACTATAATTAATTTGTATATATACGTGTATGTTGATTCTCTTGACAATTAGAAATTACTCTCAAGAAATTGCTGAATCTTGGTAAAGGTTTCTGTGCTGGATGTGTGCAACATGAATTCGTGGCCAGTGTTATCGATGACTTGCGTCTGGAATGAGGTCGCATTGGGAAAAAGAAAAGACGAATTCGCCAGCTGGTCCGCGCAATCACCATTCTTGGGATTGCAGAACAGAATATCCTTATTCCCTGTGATAGCAAAGACTTTGCCCGTGAAGCCAATGGCGGGCTGTAAACCCTCTCCAAGACTGCCACCCTCTCCACACGTCATGACATCCTGTGTGTCAAAGCTCATCTTTGGGATGGCAGGATCGTATGCACCGGCGTAGAAACTTTGTTCATGGCCGGTTTCGTTACTAGCAGTGATGTATCCCAACGGATATCCGTTGAAACGATCGAAAAGGAGAGCGGCCGGCTGCATTTGGAGCGCCAACAAGGGGCTCGGCAGCGGGACAAACGCCGACCAGCCCGTCAGAACAACGGCATCGGCGAAAGTCGGCACAAATCTGGCTGCTGCGACACCAGTTATTGAACCATAGGAATGCCCTGTAAAGACAACTTTAGGGAAGGAAATCCCAAGTGGATTGTTGATGGACCGGAGAGAGGCCGCGATGGCGTCGATAACTGCAGCTTCAATCGGCAGTTGAACAATCGTGTTTGGATCAGGAATAGTCGATTTGCCATGACCAGGAAGGTCTACCGCTAGGGTTGCATATCCCTGCGAAGCAAAAAATCGCTGATAAGAGTAACCAGAGGCTTGGAGATCTGGTATGCTTAGAGCATCCCATACGGTTCGGTCGCATGTGTTGCCATGGGCCAGCAGTTGAATCGGAAAAGTTTCGGGATGAGTTGCGCCTGCTGGTGCACAGTACTGGGCGCTGATGGAGAAGTTGGCAGAAGTTGAAACTTGTCCAACAACGCCAACGGCTCCTGTACTAAGGCCCTGACTGAGGAATTGATCGATTGAAGAGACGCTGTTCGGGTCGAGGCTGTTGCCAAAGTCTTCGTTGTTGGCAGTGACTGAAACTGGAAACTCGACGATCTTGCACTCAACTGCTTCCTGGGCAGCGGAAGAAGCCGCAAGGGCAAACGCAGCTACAGTAATAGAGGTACGCATTTCTCTTCTCTGCGTCTTTTGCTTTTGGTAGGATTGAAGTTGCTGCCAATTATCAAGTATGCTAGTAAATTGACCCAGTAGTTGTTGGTGAGGCAAGATATTCTTCGAGATGACTGAGTCGTAGATGCTCTTATACCTATTCTAACCCCCCCTGTCAGACACTTCGGAGAATAGGGTATACTATACGCCAAAAGCTAAACCTCATTATCCATGTCTTCGGTAAGAGTAATTATGATTAACACTTCTAATTAGTTCAGTTTTTGCACCTTTGAAGACTATTATGCTTAGTTGATGACGTACGACGGAGTACGGAGAATATCATTTTTCACCGATCAATGCTGTGGGTGCCTAGTAGTTGACCAGCCCACTCAGAGACACGTAGGAAGAACAGGGATAACATGGTTCTCCTAGTCGTTCTAGACTTTGTTTCCAATGCTACTGGTAGGAGTGAGACGTTGCGGATCTAATAGCGGTTTGATCGCTTATGGCAAGACTCTGGTTGCTCCATACCTTGCAGATTTATAGCTAGGGCTGACATGTTAACCAACTATACGAAAGATCCACCTAAGAAGGTAGCAAGGGGGGATAAAATGCCGCCGCTTATTGTTACAATACATACAATTCAACAGTGAAAAGACGGGCGGGTTTTCTTTCCTGCATGCACTCCTGACATGGGATTGAGTCGGTCCTGGTCTGAAGTGGCGGACCTCGGTCCTATGCAAAAAACAAAGGACCCTTGAATAGAGCAAATGGCCGCGTTCCGAGTGGCCACCATTGAATCTACATACGAAGAGAATCGTTGAAGTTTCCTAAAGCGGCTCTTCATTCGAAGGCTTTGACATGGGCTAAACTACTTGCTGGAATTGATGCAAATAATGCAACTATTTACCTGAGAGCGTTTAACAATATTGGATAAAAGCTTCTGGAAAATTGAGAGCAATGCATTTAGTATCGAGATAGCAGAAGCTAGGTTAGCATAACACGGCCTCATGCTTTTACTATGCAGCGGATTTGCATGGGTGTTTCTCTGCTCTAAGTACAATGACGAATGGTTGATAGTCGCCGCTACGGTACTGAGGCTAAGCATATGTGTCGACGAAAGTACTGACGTCTAGAGAAAATGCAATTCCGGTAATTTAGCCAGGGATATATTTTCGTCCTAGTTGCGTTATCATGCAATCTATATAAATGCACCCTTTCACCACCTCTCTTTATCAGAGCCTTGGATGTAGCTTAGACGATATAACTATATGCTATCCTCCTATTTAGGAAGGGCCGGATATAAGAAAATACTAATGTAAAAACAGAGAATGAGGTTCGATTACATTACTGTGGCAAGACGTCACTTCACACGTCTTATCTCTACAACTATAGGGCTAACATAACTGAGTGACAGCGCCCTCTGCCAAGTTTGCCAGTCATACTTAGACAGGTGGCCAGGGTGCCAAACCATAGCCAACCTAACGACTCTATGAGAGGTTTCCTACGTATGCTCTATGAGGTGGTGTCTATCCGCAGTAGAAGTGAAGGTTAGCGAGGGCGAGAATGTCTCTTCCACCGACGTCAGAAGGGGTGGATTAGGGTTATTGGTAATCGTTAATCTTGCTACTGGTAAAAGAAGCTTAAATATTTCTGTATTTGCAGATATAATCGCCGGCAGCGTTGGGGGTGCGGAAAGTGTGTTCAACAAGACGTCAGGGGTGTTAGAGAAGAAGCTATGTCCGCGTTCTAGGTGCTATTATTTACCCCGTTGATGTCTAGGTGTTAGGAAGGTTGCTTGAGCGCTTTTCTGGATAGAAAACATTCCAACGCGTTCCTTGGAAGATCGATCTGTCGTTTTGGTTTTTGTTTCGGCACATGCCGTGTTGTAAGCCGTAGTGACCGTATCGTATCCGTGGGCCGTGTCCCCCCGGAGCTCCGCCTTTCTCCTCCGGGCTAGCCCGTGTCCGTCCGACCGGCAGCCGCCAAACTGTCTGGAAACGCTGCGGGAGGTCAGTCCGATCGTGAACTGCTTATCGTCCAACGAGCTCAGAAATGGTTACCATATCACGGCTCGCATGGCGTAGGTCGAGATAAGTCACATTCCACATCATGCTCGGCCCCCCCCTGTCGTGATCCTTGGCGTAGTGACCTGACCCTATTTCGACCTACGCCGTGCGAGCCGTGATATGGCCTGCGTACGGAGCAGTGATGGGCGGGCTGCTACATGTATATACTGTTCTAGAAAGATGGCCTTGCTTCAACCTGTCCTTGCCCTGGCATCGCCTCAAGTCTTGGAAGTAGTATTCATGCGGCTGTATATTGAGAGGCGGCCGCTGGTACGACGGAATAATGGGCCATAAGGTCAACCGTAGTACTACGAGGTCATATTTGGTTGATAGCTAGGGAACTCGCCTCTGAACTAGCTCGGTCAACACGAGTATAACGTCAGAAATCTACATGTATATTTAGTTCCCATAAATACCACTTCCTCTTTCAGCCACAGCTGCGTTCTTCCAAGAACCGACGGAGCAACTGTCACATTTAGGAGCCATTTATATCGACAACGTGTCTTCCATCATCTGTCTGGTTCTCGGAAAAAATCCCTCTTTAAGATTAGCAAGCCCGGCTAGGCCCAGTTGACATATGTAGTCGCCAACCCATCAATTGACTACAAACCTCTATCTATCAAAACATACGAAGACTTCCAAATATAGGCACTTTCCCAAGAGACGTATTCCATTTTTACCCACCTTTATAGCCGAACAGTGCCGATATAAGACAATTTGATCGATGCAAATCCACTTTTAAGGCGAGCAGCATAAGCTTAATACCAAGCGTAAGCCATGTCGCAAATACGGCAACCCAAAAGCTTCTAGAGCCATGCAGTCCCAGCAGATATTCGTAATTTGTCGTGATTACAGCTAATCTTCATCGTATGATTCGCTTATCTGATCCAAGAGTTGTTCGAGCTTATTGCCAAAACATATATCACAGAGGACAGAGTGCTATGGATGCTTCATATTGATATGCCTATACGAGCCTTTGGTCGCGAATAAGCACTAATTGTTGGTAAAAGGTCAGAAATTTAGCCTTTGATGAGAAATGACAGAATCTTTATCTGCTTCGTAATGATAGCACAGCCTTGAGCATCAGCATTTAGAACATTTGTATTACTGTTGGTTTACATGAAAAGTTCGAGTATATAAGTATGAGTTGAATGCCGGAAGTTGGTCCTGGCTCCCTCAGCAACACGACTACTTAGCTACGAAGTACCCCTTCCTCGAATCCGACTTCCTTAGCATCAGTCTCTCCAGTCATTTATTTCCTGGCACTTATTATCACCGTCTCAAAATGCGTTGGCCCAGCAAAGTAGGCCTCCTTTTCGGAGTCTTCTCTGCCTTGTTCACGGGGCCAGCAACAGCTGCCGAAACCCATGTTTGTCAGCCAGGAGGAGACTCGGTGACCAATAGTAATTGCATGGCAGCTGCCTCTGCTCTGCTCATTGCTTCAACCTCGTGTGAGGGTAAAGTCAATGTGCCCAAGGGCGTTATTGGCGCCAAGCACGGCAATTGCTGTGCGACTATGTGGCGTGATGCTGGCGCGACTGTTCACAGCCTCGATTACCTATCTGCAGCATTCATGGACAATGTTGCTGTTTGCCAGAGAGGCTACACGATTTTGGACGATGGTACGAGAGTGCAGACCAATGCCGAGGCGTGCGAGTGGGTAAAGATCATTGGGAGAGATGCCATACCTGATGAGGAGGAGAAGCCAACCCCAGAATTCAGAGGAATGACTCGTCAAGCTTTGCCGGAAGAAGCTGAATTGGCCAAGAGAGGTGCCATCAATGTGTGCGGCAGAGACTTCAACGACCTTATTGATGTCCCTGGCCTTGCTGCTAAAGGATACGAACTTGTTCAGACGACTACGGGTAGCGGCCAGGGTTTCAGCGTACCAGCTTCAATTTCTCAGTCGATATACTCGCAGCTCATCTCGCAGGTTGAGCATCAGGCCAGCGGCGCGGTGTCGAGACTGGCTGGCGAATATCTCACTCGCGAAGAATTTTCTTACACGGCAATGGATCTCGCCAACAAAGCTGCCAATTCTTGGAATGCGGTTCGTAATTCACTGGGCGATTCCGTGTTGGAACAGGTGATAAAAAAGGTGGTGACTCTTGGAAGTTTATCCAAGTTCAAGTCTGTCTCATACTCTCTCAGATACGCCTCTGGCGTAGCCGTGGTGGAGTTTATCGTCAATAACTATCGTCAATAACTACTACCAGTAGCGCTTGAATAAAAGTTGGCGGATAATATGCAACCACTAAAGACCAAGTACTTCACTAGGATACTGGGTGAAGTGCAGACAATACTGGGACTGCCAATGCACCTCCAGAGAGGAATTGTCCGTAATAGTGAGGCATAACCGACTGTAAATACTCTATAGCTTCAATAACATGGAGTATATTTTACAAGGGAAAAGTTTTCAGGCTGTAGACGTATCTTAGCGAACGTGTGTGTGAAACAAGGGAAAGAAAGAATTACTAGCATACAAGAGACTTCCCCTCTTCAATATAATCACGACGAGATAACAGTGAAAGACTACCGGAATAGAAAGCGGTGGTTAGCTTACATATATACTAAAGGGCATAGGAGATGTAGCCGTGCAAGCGGGGGACAGAAAAGCCGAGACCAGGCGACTATAAGAAGAGCTCCGATGAACAGAAGCACCGGTTCAATACACTGTATGCAATCTTAGATTATGGCAAGTCGCAAAGCAGGCAGGCTCTTACAAAGGAACTACAGAGAATGGTGTTTGGGTGGCAGATTGGGCTGTTGGTCAGCGAGACGCGGTCATGACCCATTTTCTACTACTGGCATCAAGACCTTTGTGTGAGCATATGAATTGATTCAATCTCGACTTTTGGCGAAGTGATACTCCGTTACGGAGCTCCGTCCATGTTGCATCTAAGTTGAATTGGTTGATGTCGTCATATTGGTTGTTAGACTCAGTACACGAAAATCTAGCAGCGATGTATTCTTAAGACACATGCATCACCAGTTTATTTGTATAAAGCACGCCGCATTTACACTGCTGGGCTTTAGTAGAAGCTGTCGCCGGTCTACTGTGCAATTGTTCTATCGGACACATGCAACTACTCGGATTCCTGTCCCAATCCCGCTCCGAATCCCTCATCATCTTGACAACCAGGCTTGTCAGTAGAGGATGAAGAAGACGAGTATCCAACTTGAAAAGTGTTTATCTGGCTCTCGGCTGGCTTCACGATTTCGTCGGATCAGGTGCAGAATGTTGAATTGCACCGAAGGTCCGTTCTGAGGCTATATTCGCCTGTCTTGTAGGGGACAGTGTTAAACCCTTGCAATACGGCCAGATTTAGCTAGAAGCCCGTCCAATTCCAAGACGTTGCAATTTAGATACATAAAGGGCCTCGCCTCCGACAGCTGGCCTGAAACTAGACGTAAACCTACACATCAATCCATAATCTACAGCTCTCGCCAGAGTTCCTATACCCATGCTCATTGCGGTTGAAACCAACTGAGCGCGAGCACACATGTGACTTTCAGTATCATTTTCGACTATTCCACCGTATTTAGGATAGTTTGAGCAGGACTACCTTGAAGATGCCGTTACTGGAGGTGAATCATCCTGGTGGCAATCTCCACGCCAATGAAAGCTAACGATGTGTGAAGCTCATCGTCGATGTTTTGAACTGGTGGAATGGCGTCAACAAAATAAAAGCGAATCTCAAGAAAAATCCAGATGCAATCAAGCTTGGCGTCTTGTCGGCCGCTGGAATCAACTTCCCTGCACTTTTTGACCCGGTTCAGACTCATCCCGGCGTCATCATTACCGCCATTGCTGCGAGATCGAAAGCGAAAGCAGAGGCGCAAGTCGCCAAATACAAACTAGGCGCGGTTAAAGTGTACGATTCCTACGAAGAGGTCCTCCAGGATCCCGATATCGATGCTGTTTATGTCCCTCTTCCCAATGGCCTACATCACAAGTGGGCATTGAACGCCTTGAGAGCGGGCAAACATGTGTTGATCGAGAAGCCTATTGCGTCCAATGCCGCTGAAGCCAAAGAGATTCGAGATTGCGCAAACGAAACTGGCAAAATTGCTCTGGAGGCTTACCATTGGCGGTTTTACCCTGCCGCTCATCGGGTGAAGGAGATTATCGAAAGCGGGAAATATGGCCACCTCACGGCCGTCTTTTCAAAGATGGTTCTGCCTCCTGGGACTCTAACCGCTAATGACATCAGATTCAACTACGAGCTGGGAGGCGGAGCTTCCATGGATCTTTGCTATGTCCTTTCCTCGTCTTTGTACTGGGCTTCCGCTCCCAACGATGTAAAAGGCACCAGTTTCGAAGTCCTATCGACGAAGCCTCAGCTCAGTAAGCGCGACAAGCGAGTTGATGAAAACATGGACGCCACCATCACGATTACCAACGCCGACAGCGCCAGGCCGCCGGTCAAGTGTACCACTGTTTCTGAACTACTGCCGCCCAAGCTCCTGGGCTTCATACCACAGATGTGGGGTGTGACACCGTTGGCGGTTCTGGAGCTAGAACAGGCCAAGATTGAGTTTACCGCCTTTGTCACGCCGTTTATCGGACATAAGATTATCATCACCGAGAAGAGCGGCAAGAAAACAACCGAGTCGTGCTATACAGGTGGGCCTCTATGGGGTGAGAGGGGTGAATCTTGGTGGACAACGTACAGGTATCAGCTCGAGGGTTTTGTCGATCGTATCAGAGCGGCCAAAAACCAAGACAAGTATGATGGACCTTGGGTTGATTTGGATGAAAGCGTCAAGCTTATGGAGATTGTGGATGCCGTCTATGACAAGTCCGGGATGCCAAAACGCGGCGTAGAGTGAAGGCCGGTGGCCTCGAATATCATTGTTTAGGCTGTAACTTCCAATGCAGTTGTGAATGCCTCTATTGCTCCGATCATGGTTCTGATGACGACTAGGGTTTTGGAGATGTTATTTGCTTGCTATCTTATACTCATCGTTTCAATCTACCTCGCAGTCCTTCTTATATTTGAACCAAACATGCAGAGGGTGTTGAAAAATACTGATGTCAATTTAGAAGTATTTCGAGCGTCTACTCGTGTGCGTGTTGGATGAACAGATCAAGCTGCCATTTCTCTATCCCCTCTTCTCTCTGCCATCCCCAGATTCAAGAAGATCAGCGTCACTCTTCTCCCAATAGTGATTGACCCCAATGGATTTGATGAGTTCTTCATGCTCCCCGCTCCTCACTGTGATACTAAACGGGAAACTCGCGGGATGGCTAACCAGCCCTGGCACATGTTCTAGTTTGGGTTCCATCACAACCCCTTGTTCGTCTACCGCCTTGCTGATGTTGAAATTAGCTAGCAGCCGAGCAATCGTTATGAAGAGAGTATCATCGGCCATATACCGCCCAGGGCAGATTCTGCGGCCGTAACCAAATGCTTCGACCGGATCAGGTTCATTGCGCGGCTTGAGAAACCTCTCTGGAGAGAAGCGAAACGGATCTGGATATGTTTGAGGATCATGGTGAATCCACCACACCGCGGGGAGCAGGATCGTTCCCTTGGGAATGCGGTAACCATCATAGATGACCTCGTCACTGGCTGCATGCGGTGTGGTGACTGGAACAATTGAGAACCATCGAAGAGCTTCCTTGACAATAGCCGAGGTATATGGCAGCCGTTCCTGATCCTCGAACTGAGGAATTCGAGTTGGAGATGTGCCAATCAATTCATCAATTTCCTCTTGTGCCCTCTGCTGTACTTCCGGAAATAGAGTCATGGCCAATGTAAAGGCGGTCATAACTGATACAGTAGCTTCTGCTCCCGCACCGTAAAGGACTCCTGCCGCCCATTTGATAGCCTCCTCATCGGCGTAGTCGAGTTTTCCAGTTTTCGATTCACTGTTGCATCGTTCAATAAGGCCCGACACAAACGATGGGCGATGGGTGCCGTTTGCCACTTGCCGCTTAACGAACGAGTAGGGAATGTTCACCACATCATGGTTGACCTTGTTGTATTGCCGGGCTGTCTCCTTGAATGCCGTCCCTGGGAACCAATCGGGTAAGTGCTTAAGAGCAGGTATCATGTCAACCAGTCTTGCTGCGGGCATCACGGCTTGTGAAAGGTTGACCATCATTGTCTCGATCAATTTCGTCAAAGGATCGACCGCGTCTTGCTCGATAGAATAGCCATATACGGTTTTCAGGATGATGGCGGCCGACTCGCTGTCAAATTTGGCATTTACTCAGCTGTGTTTCCCTTCCACTATAAAGAGTCCACGCACAAACTCACGTCCTAAAATGCTTGATAAGATTTTGGGGATCATCCACGGTCCGTCTCAAAAGGCGCCACGACTCGACATCTTGAACGCCATGGAACTGTGCGACGATCGTCTTTGTACCTACTTGTTGGTACATGAACTTCCTCTGCCGCCGGAAGTCTGCGTCATACTGTCTACCCGACGTGAACTTTTGAAACCCACACAGATCGAATGCAAAAACCGATCTCGGCCGATTGGAGGTCTTCAACGACATTTTGCCCATGATTTCATCCGCTGCCTGCTTGTCGTGGATGATGACAAAAGTTTGGCCCAGCACAGTCATGGAGCTGACTGGGCCATAGAGATCCTTGAACTTGAGCCAATGCTGGAACTCGGGCTTCCCGGATGGTGGGAGATCCAAGATGTTACCAAGGATGGGCAGACCCTGTGGCCCCGGAGGAAGACTCAACGAGCCATTCTTCTTTCGAATGCATTGGTGATAGACGAGAAAGCCTATCACAGCAACAATTCCAGCGACAACATGCGGTATACCGAACATGATGGCGATGAAGTTGGGGCGCGATAGATTTAACGACTATGAACAAGTAGCAACACGCGTCGAGAAGAAGAAAAAACCGCATCGCAAATTTCTTGACGAGGCTCTGGGAATGTTATCTTTATATGCCGTGATTGGTTACAGAATGTTACATTCTCGCTGGAGACAAACCCGGTAGGATTGATGTGACGCTCGGTTAACCCGAAACGGGTGATTTTCATGACCAATAGACACGCCACTCTCTTATCACTTGGTAGCAAGTTAGCGTACGTTATTAAATCCAAGATATATTTACACGATAATCTGCGCAGAAGTTTAGGGTAGCACTTGATTATGTCTATTGAAGTTGCGGTGAATTGAACGGACAGTTGGAATCAAGAGTGCTCAAGGCGCAGAAGTTGGGCACGCTTTCATGCGTCTAGGCAATTAATTTTATGCACCTAAGAAAAACCTCCTTCTCATAATTCTATTCAACATTACTGAAGGGTAATGACTAGCTTGCTAAGTTGTATCTGTGACTGCGCTTGTACCGGTTGAATAGTAGCGAAATACACTTCAGATTTACAGTTATAGGGCCTGGCAATAGCTTGGATCAACAGAGAAAGCCCATCCACTTGCTGCTTGGTAGACATATTCCGTTGCCAGCGGTCCATTTCATCTACTGCATCTGCAAGGTATATCGAGGGAGATTATCAATACTATATTTGCGAGCCTAAGCTGGCTATATAAAAGCCCTTAGACATCGATCCATATACATAGTTTGTCGCTTTATAGGACGACTCTTTTTAGTCGGTGTCTTCAAAGTTCACCAACCATATCCCATCGTTCTGACTCTCGTTTTTGAGCCGTCTTTGCGTTCGCTTCTCATCATCATTCGCCTGTGACTCTTCTCTTTGACGCAGCTTCAGCTCTTCCCAGTTCTGTGCAGGTATCACAGTAGAATCATATTCCGAGATAACCTCCCACACGCTCCCGTCTTTAGCTTCCCACGTATGTACAGAACGCACAAATTTCTCCAGAGTTTTGAGATTGGGTAGACACACCCATCCGTATCGGTTGCCATTGCTCATTCCGACAGCAGTTGGTTCGTATTCTGAAAAGAGATTGAACAAGCTTCGTCCGTCGAAATCTTCGAATCCCGGGGTACGATATACTCTTGTGATGAATGGATAGAATTCTTTCGGTCTGGGCCGTGAGCCTTTCCAATAATTCTTTTGTTCTGGGGTGGCAGGGGCGTTTGAGCGTCGTCTGGCAAACTGTTGTGTCTTTTGAGACGATTGGCTAATCTCGAGCATCTCTCCACCACTAGGGAGCCCCAAAAACCGAATTAATAGCATCGCTGTCCGCACAGTATCCGTAGCAGCGTTGTGTTGAGAGGCGGTCCGAGACTCCTGCGAGTGCCTGTAGCCTTCAAAACCACAAGCGATCAAAGTTTCACGCAGGCCAGGTGTTACAATCCCACCAGTCATACCACTTGCCACTTCTTGGAGATCAACCCAGGATGTGAAATAGTTTAACAGGTTCGGGTAGATGCTTGATAGCACCTGTAACTCGAAAACGATTGCAAATCCCGTTAGAATCAGAGGCGCGTCGCCCGACGTCTTGTCCCGAAATGACTCTATGATGCCTGTAATAGTCTCCTCTACCGTGTCGCTTGAGACACAGTGTTGTGTCCCGTATCGATGTTGTTCACGACCTCTCTCTCGCCTTTCTCTATCGATCAAGCGTATCCAGTGTGTTTCCAATCCCATAAAGTTACTGGCCGCATCTAATGTCTTGGGAAATTTGTCCATAGTTTTGCAACCAAGATGCAGATGGGCAGGTGAGAGAAGAGAAAGGCCAATCTCGGCCGGCTCTGAATTGTCTTTGCCCCATGGCTCAGCATCAACAATGACAAAGGCAGCGCCATTCGCGGATTCCTTGAGGGCTGTTATGTCCAAGATGCGGGATTCGTAGAGCCGCCGCCAGTGTTTTGTTTTGAAAGGTGGATGTGACTTGTAATGCATGTTTGAAAGCTGATGTGGGCTAGTTATATACCGTTGAGGAAGATCTGCATCTGGGCCTGGATAATGAGAATGAGAGAGAACATGGGAATCATAGAGTAGACATTCCTCACTGTGATGGGCAATAAGTGTAGAAATTACAGTCCGCCCTCTAGCTGCTATAGGTGAAGTTAACGCTGGTGCGGGAAAAAGAAACTTTCTGGCCATCCTCATACTTCCACAGAGTCATCAAATAGGTACATAAACTACTAGGTACCTATGAGTGCCTGATAGACTACAACTGATAAGGTTGCTACTTGTACTTGGATACCGACATCCAGGTGGGTTTATTAGTAGAGTAGGTACATGCCATGCAAGTTTTGTGAGTTATGATGCATCTTGTATGCGAGTATCATCCATTCATCGCCGGCCAGGATCGATTTATGCCCTCTGGGCCTGGACGAAATGCGGCTATACACCGTCCCTAGGAGTCCTGGAATAATTTGTTTTTGTCTCCCGCTACAACCATGCGCAGTCAGCCTGGTGTCTTATACTTTGAAGTTCCATCTAGCAAAACTGCAATCAGAGTTTAAAACCCACTTTACCTAACACATACAGTGTCGTATTAGTTCACTTGAATGCCGTCACGGCTGTTCTCGGGCATGTCCACTCGGATGTAAATACCGAGGCTGCATGACTAGGGTTGCAGGCAATTTTTAGAAACTTGATCTGCATATCCGCATCTCTCATTGGGGCGGATCAAGGATGCAATTCCATGTCATTATTCCTGCTCTCGATTATAAGCAGAATTTCTAATGTTGAGGACACGAACGCAAAGACCTTTGTTTTGTCACATGCTCATATCTAAGGTATAAAACGTCCTCATGGACTGCGTCTAAACTTGACAGCTTTCATAGCCCTCAGAGTATCGTATATCAAGATTATACTTTTGAAAATTCATCATGTTCAAGATGAAAGCTCTTATTGCTTTACTGGCTTTCACAGTCAGCTCGTTTGCGGCTAGTAGAACCTCTCCACCTGCTGGTGCTCTTGTTGTCGGTCCGGGCAATTACTCAACGGTGCAAGCAGCTGTCAATGCCCTCAAATCAACGACACAAGAACAAATCATTTTCATCAACCCCGGCACCTACAATGAGCAAGTCACTATTAATAAGCTCAGCGGACCACTCACCATCTATGGCTATACTCAAAATACAGCATCCTACGCCTCCAACGTGGTTACAATAACTGCATCCCACAGCTTACAGGACGAAGCTACCGATGATGCAACCGGAACACTAAGAGTAGAAACAACCAACTTCAAGTTATACAACGTCAATATTGTCAACTCACATGGCAGCGGCTCACAGGCTTTGGCCGTATCTGCAAATGCTGGGGTAAGATGACAAGACTCATACTCCAGCCAATCTCATTTTCAAGACCGTAATCTGACTTGGCTCAACAGAATCAAGGCTATTATGCCTGCTCCTTCAAAGGTTTTCAAGATACCTTGCTCGCAGAAACCGGCGCCCAGCTCTATTCGGCCTGCTACATTGAAGGCGCTACCGATTTCATCTTTGGCCAGCAAGCCACTGCCTGGTTCCAGAAGTGCACGATCGCAGTGCTCCCTACTTCCATCGGCTATATCTCCGCATCTGGGCGCTCATCGAACTCGTCCAGTTATTATGTCTTCAACGGGGCCACCATTGGGGCAGCTCCGGGTAAAAGCGTCTCCAGCGGGGTGTACTACCTTGGTCGGCCATGGGGGGATTATGCCCGAGTTGCATACCAGTCTTGCTCCATGAGCAATGTCATTAACAGTGCCGGTTGGCATATCTGGAACACGGGCGATGAGCGGACTGATCATGTCTCCTTTGGCGAATATTCAAACTCGGGAGCCGGGGCGTCGGGGACAAGGGCGTCGTTTGCCACGAAACTAGGCAGTGCCTTGGCAATTGGAAACATTCTGGGTAGCAGTTACGCTTCGCAGTACTACGTAGATACCTCGTATCTTTGAATTAGCTAGTAGTTGAATAGATAGACTGCATAGGAGCATTCGATAGTTCGCTTCATCGTGACCGCATCAGACCACACCAAGCCGGTACGGCCCTTTTAACTGTTTGGCACTGTCTTCTCGGATCATCTGGCAATTGGCGCGCAAGTGATCTAGACTCGAACGAAAGAAGAGCAACTTCTGCCTAAAAGCTACGAAGAAAAATACCACCGAAGTAGCGTCTTCATTGGCAGGGAAGAGCAGGTAGAAAATTCAATTGCATGGAATATATATATCCGGGGAAGTTGCTGGTCTTTTTGAGGTTGCATCCACAGCGTGACATTGCATTTAAATATCCGGTCTAGCCACAATGGCTAATGGGGGAGAAAACTTACCGTGAATGGCAAATTCGGAAGAAGGGATGCCGTGTCTATAAGAGGAAATATCGACCTATATGTCTATTGATATACCGTAGGTGCTCTCTCTCTCATTGTACAAGGGAATCCGTGGAGAGACTTTAGTATATAAAGCTGCTTCCCCGACCAGTTTATCAGTGTAAGTAGTCTCAGCTTCACATGCTTCTAGGCCATTATATGGTATTCGCCTTTGCAATATGAAGCTCACAAAGAGTTCCCTCCTTGCCGCTGCAACTGCAGCCTCGACATTGGCGGCGGTGCTACAACCAGTTCCGCGTGCTTCTAGTTTTGTGTCGATATCAGGGACCCAGTTCAACATTGATGGCAAAGTAGGCTACTTTGCGGGCACCAATTGCTACTGGTGTTCTTTCCTTAGCAATCCCGCGGACGTTGATACAACGTTCAGCCACATTGCTTCCTCTGGACTCAAGGTCGTGCGTGTCTGGGGCTTCAACGATGTCAACCAGCAGCCTTCCCCTGGAAACATTTGGTTCCAGAAGTTATCAGCATCTGGGTCCACGATCAATACTGGAGCCGACGGACTACAGCTCCTTGATAATGTAGTCAAGTCAGCTGAGCAGCATAACCTCAAGCTCATTATTCCATTTGTCAACAACTGGAATGACTATGGTGGAATCAACGCCTATGTGAATGCCTTTGGCGGCAATGCCACTACTTGGTTCACTAATTCGGCAGCTCAAGCTCAGTACCGCAAGTACATTCAGGCTGTCGTCAGTCGTTACATCAACTCGACGGCCATCTTTGCGTGGGAGCTGGGCAACGAGCCTCGCTGCAACCAGTGCGATACTGGCGTCATAGTTACATGGGCTACAAGCGTATCTCAGTACGTCAAGTCACTCGACTCAAACCATCTTGTGACGCTTGGAGATGAGGGACTTGGTCTCAGCACCGGAGACGGCTCTTATCCGTATACTTATGGAGAGGGCACCGACTTTGCCAAGAATGTACAAATCAAGACACTCGACTTTGGTACTTTCCACCTTTACCCGGATTCTTGTAAGTATTCTATGAGACAAGAAGTTGGAAAAGCTTCATCAATGTTAACTTGGCCATGAATAGGGGGCACAAACTATCCTTGGGGAACTACTTGGGTTCAAACCCATGCTGCGGCCTGTGTAGCAGCAGGCAAGCCATGCGTGTTTGAAGAATGTAAGTGATCTAGATCTTCTCCCTGGTTGGGCTCAACTAACATCGCGATTAGACGGTGCACAGAACAATCCCTGCACTAACGAGGCTCCCTGGCAAAGCACCTCTTTGGCAACTCGCGGTATGGGCGGCGATATGTTTTGGCAGTGGGGAGACACCCTTTCCTACGGTCAATCGAACAGTGATCCATACACTGTCTGGTACAACTCATCGAACTGGCAATGTTTGGTTCAAAACCACGTTACGGCTATCAACGGAGGCACTCCTCCTCCTCCCGCCTCTTCGACTACGGCTGTCTCGTCTAGGACGACATCGACCGCCTCGCAACCGACTGGCAGCTGCTCCCCCTTGTATGGACAGTGTGGAGGCAATGGATGGGCTGGTCCTAAGTGCTGCTCACAGGGAACTTGTAAATATAGTAACGATTGGTACTCACAGTGTGTGCCTTGATGAAGCGCTGGAGATGCAGTACATGTACTCAGCTACGAAGTTGATACAATGAAGGGTCGTTACCTATGCACCTGAGAGGATGAATACAGCTTTCCTCTGACCTTGTGATCTATGGTACTGTTCAGATAGTAGCCTCCTGCTCAAGTGTATATTCATCAACAGCTTCTATCGCTTGCCTGATGTAATGCAGTATCTTGGCATGTCTATTGATCGACATAGAGCGGGATGATGGAGCAACTCGAAAGATTCTTGCGCTAAACTTAGCCTCTGAAAAAAACACCGTGCGCGATCGGACTAGATTGTCGCTATTAGCACGGCGCGGAGCCTCAAAGCTCGAGACCCGCGTCGACTTGCTTTTCGCCAAACAACAGTCCCGCCTCCAATCAACTTTGTCGATCTCGCGTCTCTCCACCCATTTCAGCCTCATCTTGTTTCGTCCTTTGTCGTTTCTCTTCTTTTTCCTTCTCTTCTGCCGCCGCCGTTAAAAACACCACAGCATTCCATGCATCCTCATTTTTGAGGTCCGTGACCATGGCGAGGAGATCGCGACCCAGCACCAACTCGTCGCCGACGTCATTCTACACGAGCAAAGAAGACGAATCAGACCGCACTGCCAAGTCGACGACCGCGAGTACGCCTGTAAAAGGCCAGCCGTGCCCGTATCGAGAGGCGCGCGAGCTGCCGCATGAGTTGAAGGAGCACTGCCAGATCTTCCTTGAGGAACAGCTATGTATGCATGCGTTGATATGCACCTCAATATACACCCGCTTCCATCGGCGGCCTGTATGCACAAGGACCTGACGCTCGACCACTTTTTAGATACCTGCGCTATCGACCTCCTCAACAGCATTCTTGGCTCCGGCGTGTCAAGAAAATCCCCGAGCAGCAAGCCGGCCGCCATCCCCCCGCCTAGCCATCTCGCACTCCTCGGCACCATTGCCGTTCACCCAATACACACAACGCGCGTCGACAAACCCGAGCATCTCGACGTCTCCTCCCTCGCCTTGGGCTACCTTCGCAACGTTCTCACCGTGGTTGGACCGCTTCACGCCGACTTTCGGACCGCATTCCAGTTCCGCTCAATACCGAGATGGAAGAGTCGAGCAGGACATGTTGGCCATGGTAGCGACAGCGATATGTCTGATGACGATTCAAAGGGCCGCAATGATTCTCTACGGGGGAGAATCGCAAACGAGGGCGGTGTGTGGGTCAAGGGCCAGGACTTCTGGTCTACCGTGGGGTGGGCGTTTCACTGCTGCTCACTGATGCCACACCGATGGCGGTACTGGAAGGCGTGGTTGGAGTTTATGCTGGATGTGTTGGATGCCGACTGGGCTGAGAGAGAGCGTCGCGACAAGGAGGACCATGAGACGAATGGTCAAGTGGGCGATGCACCTACCGTGTGGCGCGCCGAATCCATAATCACCATGTACATGGACCAGAAAGATGGCCGCCACTCTGGTCCCAAGGCGATCATGAGGGCATTGCTTGCTTACAACGGCAGCGTGTCTTCTTCGTCTTTCCAGGAAATATTTGACAAGGAGCACAAAGGACCGCGGCAGCGGGGGAAGAAGCGGAAGCGCGACGCGGTCCTTGACCTGGCCAACGACCAATTTGGCGACTATTTCGACGAAGACGACTCGATATCCTCTGGCGTCTCCGAACCTCCAACCCCTCAAAAGCAGCGCACAAAAGCTGGCGGCTCGGGAGTCAGCTCGGGGGTCAGCGCAGGCATGGTTGAGTCCATCCACCTACGGATGCGGCTATTCAGACTGCTTTCTGCAGCTACGCATACGCTAAGCAGCAAACGCGAGCTTGACAGGCTTTACGAGGACTTTGCAGCCAGCATCAAGGTCCTTCCCTTGGATATGTTTGCGTTATTCGTCTCCCAGCGAGAGAACCCTCTGCTGCCTGAATCGCACGTCACCTTGACCAAGGAACTCTTCCATCGGCTTCTCCCTTCATCCTTCAAAGACCCCCGCAGGGCGGACAAGGAAGGCCATTCTAGAGGCAGTTTGACAAAGCCCATGCTGGAAGAGTGCTACGTATGCCACCCCGCCAATACGGTTGGCCTGGAGGACAATGCCAAGTTGTCGCTGGTGGTTGAGAGCGCGATACAGCTGCTGTGGAATTTCGATATGGTGGAGTACACAGACAGCTTCAAAGTCGCAGTGGAGAAGGGTATAGACGCGCGAGAGAAGAAGGCGCAGAGGAAGAGGACGGGGCCCCGAAAGGCCGACGCAGGCGATTCGCACGCTCACAACGTCATGAACGCATCTACCGAGAGGATTCGAACTTTGGTGGAGATGCTAGAGATCTCTGCTAGTTGAGTCTTCTTTTTTACAGCGTGCGTATTTCCCCCATTGTGTTTGGCGTTTGTTTTTTTCTTGTGCACATGTCAGTGCTGCGGACGGTGTCTTGGTCTGTTTTCTGTTTGAAAAGCCATTGAGAAAAAATGGCGAGTGACGAACGTTGCTGTTTTCATGATTGAGAGAGAGAGAAAACCGTCTGCCGGAACAGAATTGGGAAGCAAGGCGTTTTAAAGGGCAACTCTTGGGGGTATACAGTATGATACATATAATACACGTCTATCCGCCCCATCGATCCATAGATAGATACACACCTATTCATAGTACAGATGATACCATTTTGTTGACATTGTCGCTTTGTCTTCATTTTTTTCGTTTCCATATTCAGTCTGTTGCCTTTGTGCTAAGCAGTCGCTTGATCAAGACGTGGTCATCGATTTCTCTTCGTGGCCGCGGGGTTCCACGCCGTAGGTTGCCATTTCTCGCCGGGTCCCTGAGCTTTTGCCCTAGCCCAAGGATCATTTTCATCTGCCTTTTCCGTCTTCTTCGCCTGAGGAGATGCCGCGCTCGCCTCGTCTGCCGGCGCTCTCTCCTTGGCCAACGGCAGCTTCTCCTGTTCCCTCGGGGCCTCCATGACCCTAGGCTTGGCCTCCCAGCGCGCGTCCGCCTCGGCGGCGAGGTACTTCATCCTCTCCTGGCGCGCCACCTCCTCGTGCTGCTCTTGCAGCGTCGGGGGATCTCGCCGTGTGTGCCGCAGCCACTGGTGCCATTGCGGGCTGACCTTGACCTCGGAGTAGTGCGTTGATCGGGGATAGGAGACGATGCGGCGCCAGCGCTCGCCGGATTCCTTGGTCCCGCGGGTGTTGCGGAACTCCCAGAAGGTGTTGCCTTTGAGATCAAAGCCTGGGAGAAGAAGTAAGAATGTGAGTTGGGCGGGTTTGTTCTCAGCTATATATAGATGTGGTTTTGATGGCATTGGAGGCGAATAGAAGACACTACTAAGGGAGAGAGAGCTTCAACACGAGACAAGGAAGCATACCAATGAGAAAGCGCCGCCGCCAAGGGAGGCGCAGGGCCTTCCACTTGTACCACGCCTGAGCAAAGGGGCCTATTGACTTCGACGTCATGAGGATGCGGCGACGATGGTCTTTTTGGGAGATGAGCTTTTGCCGGCGAGGTTCTTCCGTCATGGGATTTGAATTCAAATGCGCTACCAAGTGAAGTGGCTGTGCGGCGCCACCTTTTTGCCGGCACCAGCCACCACACGCAGCTCCAAAGCACGTTACTGTACTGTACCCTTACCCGCTGCCCCTCTCTTTGCAATCAACCTGAAGTACCTAGAGTACATGCGAACTCCTTTGCAGCAATGCATCAGCAATGCATCTTCTCTGCGATCGAACCCTGCAGGAGCTGGCCTGTTAGAAAAGCACGGCTTAGCGAAACGAGGGGTCCTGGAGTTTAATGCGAGTCACCTCCCTATGTCGTCATCAGTGAGCATACAGTACAAGACCCCTACTATCATTGATATTAACAGGCTGCCCGCTTGAGCTGCAAGTTATTAATAGACTCCCGCGGTACCGGTGCTAGCACTTTGACCCGTACCTGTACCTGTACCTGAGGCTGTCCAATTTTGTTCCGTAGAATCGTCAACTCAGCCCCCGGTCGCCTTGTAATAACTGTAATTTGGCGCCAGATTCTCCCCCGCCAGCTCCTGCGCCTGGAGCTGACGTGCGTCACCCGCCAAGGGGCCAAACAAGAGTACTTGAACCCTTTTCTTCTTCTTCCTCCCTCTGCTCTTATAGTATTACTATTCTTGCTTCTCCTCCCTCTTGGTCGCTGTTCGCGAGCAGTTCCCTCATACGTTACCGAATACATCCTAAATTTCTTCACTGTTGCTATGCAGTAAATTCCAGTCCGCTGGGTTTCTCTGTTGCGACTACATTCCGAACCTGCCGCTTACTCACCCCGTCTGACGCTGACTTGGTGACGACATCATCCTCGACATCCGATCACAACAAATCGCCTTTCCCCCGACTTCCGCCCTCAGATTCCCAAGAAACAATACCAGAGACATCAGACATAGAGGAGGACGCATCAACTAGGAGGTTGCGCGCTTCCATAGATCCAAAAATGGCATCCGTCTCATCCTTGGATAAGGACCTGCGCAGATTGCGCCTGGAGAAATACACTCCCGCAGCAGCCGACGAGGCTCGCGCATGGATCGAAGAGACCCTGGGAGAACCGCTGCCGTCAAAGGATCTGCTGGACGGCCTCAAAGATGGCGTCGCTCTCTGCAAGTATGCGATGCGCCCGCGCCCGCGCTCTCCATACATTGTTTCTATTGTCGTGTGCTAACCTTTTTGTCCCGCTCAGGCTCATCAATCTCGTCGCGCCCAGCCCCGGCATCAAGTTCAAAAAGTCAGCCATGCCCTTTGTTCAGATGGAAAACATATCGCATTTCTTGCGCGCATGCCAGGCTCCGCCGTTGAACTTGCACCAACACGATACGTTTCTCACTGTCGACTTGTATGAGCGAAAAGACCCCGCCCAGGTGCTTCAATGCATTGGCGCATTCAGCAGAGCCGCGAATGCCGCAAACCCCAACAACTTCCCGAATTCCATCGGGCCCAAAACAGCAAGGCTCGGTGTTGGATCAGCAGACGGCAGCGTTAGACCAACGAGCTCCAGCGGCCAGTCGGTCAGCAGCTGGAGCAAGAAGGAGCACGAAGGCTCGACGGCTCCGGCCTGGAATATTGCACAATACGGCTATATGGGCGGCGCCAGTCAGGGCAGCATGGGGGTCGCTTTTGGGGCTCGCAGGCAGATCACTAGTAGTACGCCTCAGGTACCAAGTTTGGCTGAGAAGGAGCGTATCCGGAAGGAAAAGATAGCGGAAGAAGAACGCCAGCGACAAGAAGCCCAGGCCCGGCGCCAAGCCCAGCTGGAGACCGAAGAACGTGCTCGTGCCGAGGAGGAGAAGCGATGGCAGCAAGAGACGGAGAGACAGAGGGAGGATGAGCGCCGCAAGGTCCTACAGGAGAAGCAGAAGTGGGAGGAAGAGGAGAGGCAGTGGAGGCTGACCGAAGATAAGCGCCGAAAGGAAGAAGCTGAGGCCGAGGCTCTTGTCGAGGAAGAGCGACGCCGTGCCAGAACCCGCAGCCCTGCCAAGCTACGTGGGCAATACCTAAGCCAGTACCAAGCCGAGCAGGCTAGCGATGAGAAGGTCGAAGCTGACGAGTCAGCGCAAAAAGAGCGGGTTCATGAGGCACGACAGCGCGAAGCCGAGTATGAGCGTGAGCGACAGGAGCGAGCTGCTGAAGGCAAAGTGCCTGATTCACCGGTTCGACTAAGAGGTCGGCCAGGCGAACCGCGAAGCCCCCGGGGGCAAGGCAATACCTCGCAGCTGAACCGCCACGAGTCTTGGTCGCAGAACGAGCGAGAAGTCCTCCATACCAAGTGGAAGCAGCACCAAGATAACCTGAAAGAGGATGAGCGAGAGGGACTGGCCTCGTCGCCGCTGCCCAAGTCTCCCAGGCCTCTGCCAACTCCCAGCGCTGTTCCGGGTGGACGGCCACTGCCTGATCCAGCCAAATACTCATCCCCTCCGAGAGAAGCGCCGCAGAATCGCACAGACCGCTTCCTGGCTTCCAACCCGGCCCCCATGCCGTTTGTGGCCCAGCAGACTTATGCTCGAGAGCTCGGCGCAACGGAGGAACGCGATGCCGAGGACCAGCGTCGAATCCAGGGCCAGGACAAGACCAAGGCGGGCGGCTGGGCGTCCAAGTCGCTGCTCGAGCGCGAGAAGGATCTGGAGAGACAGCGCCAGCAGGAGTGGGAGGAGGCCCAGAAGGAGACGGCGGCCATCAAACGAGGCGACAGCGGCGTCGACGGCATTGGCGGCGGGATTGACGGTCGATGGGACGTCAGTCAGTGGAGTGGCTACACCGGCGGCGATGGCCAGAACAAAGGATCGCAGGGCATCGGCGCTGGGCGGAGGCAAATTGTAGGGCCGCGACCTCTACCGCGGTAGAGTAGAGCGTCCCCCCAAGATACACGGCTCGAAGCAAAAGGAAAGGGGAGAGGGGAAAGGGCATGTCGAGGAACCTCATTGGCAAAATACGTAGATGATCTTTGGCGGGCGTCCATCCGGTTAGAGGATTACATAAAAAAAGACGGGCGGTGGTGGTTGGGACGGAAAGGGCGGCGCATGTTATATCTGGCTTTTCTCATCTTCTTGTCCTTGTTGTATTTCTTCTTCTTCTTTGACTCATCCTTTTATCTTTTATCTCTATCTTCCTTTTTTGGCTTTCTCTTTTTTTCTCTTTCTTTTCTTCTTCTTTTGTATTCTTCTTGCAGAAATAATGTTTTTCAGCGTTGATAACATTTTATTGTTCTCTTTCTCTCCATCTATTTTGCAATCTGCGTCATCTTTTGTGAAGCTTCAATTTTATAGTAGCCGGCGTCAAACTCGGCTGGCGATCCCAAGCTAATAAATAACACGATTCCACATGCCAACCATCTCCGCCCCTCCCAATAAGTCATCCTTGACGTGGTCATATTTCCGCCGGCGGGACTGACGGTAACCCCCAATCTTGGCCAGAGGAGGACAGGGTAGCTTCATGGGATAGCTCGAGCCAGATTCTGCTAGGCCGGGCTTCCTCATGCAGGGCACGGCAGCCCACTCTCTCCATCCCTAGCTCAGGTGAAATCCACGGGAAGAATGGGGGTCCCCCAGCTCGAATTGGCTACCAAGCAGCAACGTTTGCTTTGTGCCCTCATCCCCATCATCATGATTGTCTTTTTGCCTGTTATGCTTTCGTGGGCCACGCGGACAAGGCAAAAACATGGCGGCAGGTGAGACATCTTTGCGTCATACAGCAGCTGGCAAAAATAAACCCCTGCCCTGCCCTGCACACGCACACGCAACACGCAACACAGTGCTGTATGCAGAGCACAGAGTTTAAAAGCCCTTGCGCTGGCTGATATCCCGGTCCATACATGCATTAGGTAGAAATCAACTGTTAGGCTGCCACCGGGACCCCGTCAGATATGGGCTAAAGGGTTTTGATGCTCAAGACAGAAATCCCTCGATACACACACGATTGGGGGGGGGGATACCGCCGGCCATACTGACTGACTTGATTTCTTTTCCACAAAAAGGCCACACACCCACTGTTCAAGTGTGGGCATGGACTGGAAAGTGAACACGGGGGCAGATGCTACAGTAACAAGAAGGCGTCTTCTCTTTCTGCTCTTTTTGGGGGCCCGGCTGTCGTAGTATGAGCGGGGATCAGCGACATATTTCCTTCTTTTTTTCTTTGCTGTTAAGAAACCTCCCATCGTTTACTTGCGAGGCCAAAAAAAAAAAAACCCTTGTTGCATCTCATCTTTTTTTTTCCTTTTTGCTCCTTTTTCTGTTAGTTTAGAATTTGTGTCATTGTGGGCCTTGAAGAACCACTTTGACTGAACCCGTCATCAAACCGTTTGTGTGCGGTGGCCGTTTTCTTTCTACTTTCTCTCTTTCCCCCTACCCTTTTCGCTCTTATCACGGGGACAGAAGCCCCTGCTGGGATTTTGACCCTCGTCTCTCGCTACCGAGAATAGACACTCGCAACCGAGTACGCTAGCCGTAGGGAACCGAAGCCGGAAGCTGGTTCTGTTCTTGTTTCCGTTTCAACGGCAGGGCCCCGAAAGGAAGAATAACCATGTTTATGCCGATGTGCCATTTTCAGCCGCTTTATTCTCGGACGCCTCAGTGCGGCACCTCTGGCACATGCACCAGCCCCCCAGGCTTCCCCGAGCCCATTCGCGTCGTTGCTGGACCGGCAGGGTCACGTCGCAGTAATGGTTGAGAATCTCCTCTCCCTTCTTGATGCCTCCGGGCCGGCCGCCGACGATACGCTGCTTCCTCGCCGAGAGGACCATCCGGCCGCTCCAGTCCCATGTGACGTTGGGGTCACAGTCGTGGTTGGCGAGACACCAATACGGATGCACCGCGGCAACGTCCGGCCTTCCATCTCGCGGGTTCTTGCGGGCCGAGGCGGTGCCCCGAAACTTGGCATAGAGCGTGTTGAGCACCCACAGGTCGTATTCCGGCAGCCCGGCGTAGATATCGACGTCCATCTTCTCCAGTATGTGCAGCGGCGTCTCGATGTTGTACTTGAAGGAGAAGGGAAGCGTCCACTCGGGC